GCAACACTAATACATGTTTGTATCAAAAAATGTTCGTCTGTATTCATTATTATCATTTCTTTTAGCTAAAAATCTCAAAAGCTTTTGGTGGAATATATTTGGCTTCGACATTGTAATCTCCTGCTTGCAAGAAAGCAATTTACATTTTATCGCATGGAAGCGTCTGAAAAGAAACGAAAGTCAAAGTTCGTTTAACATCGTGCTTCAGTTAACTGAAACTGATGCATACCCTAGTGGAACTTCTTGTACCCAAGATCTTGGCTAGGATCTTGGGTTAAGAAATGTCACAAGATCTTGGAAAAAACACCAAGAAGTCAAGATCTTGGATTCTTGAGTTTTTCACTCAAGATCTTGGCCAAGATCTTGTATTAAGAAATTTCAAGATCTTGGGTGGCGTAAGCCAAGATGTTTCAAGATCTTGGATTCTTGAATCTGTCACTCAAGATCTTGGCCAAGATCTTGTATTAACAAATTTCAAGATCTTGAGTGAAGCCACTCAAGATGTTGCAAGAGCAAGGATGACAAATTTTCTTTACATTTTGTTTTTATTTATGACAGTCGTAGCCACTGGATATATGACGATATAGAATCATAGATTCTTCCTTAAACAACTATGGTCACAAAGCAGAAAAAATCGAACTTATTCTAAGTGTGAAAATATTCGCAGTTATATTTACACTAGAATGTAAAACAAAACGATGATTCAAGAATTTCCAAGATCTTGGTACAAGAAGTCAAGAAATTATAAGATGTTCAAGATCTTGACTTTTTGAAATTTCTTGAATTCTTATATTTTCTTACCAAGATCTTGAATCAAGATCTTACTAAAAAAATTCAAGAAGTCAAGATCTTGGTTACAAGAAGTTTCACTAGGGATACCTACCTAAGTCCACTTTCTTACTCTATCCGCCGTGCAAGTGCGGTTCTCGCGTCATGATCGCTTTACATTGAGGCAACTCAGACCGCGACCGCTAAAATATCGTGATTGTCGTGGCGCGATCTCGATGAACTCTTATCTTTCAAAAAATTTCTAAATCGCGATCGTGACGCAACAATTTTTTTGATAGAGATCGTGCTCAAATCACGAGATCGCGCCATGACTCGCGTTTTTTTCAGTTAAATTTTGAAATTATGTCGCAATTGCCGTTTTCTCTTAGAGTCGCACAGCGAATCTTAACCTCAGGAATGCCGTATGGCGTCTATAGACGACATGAAGGAAATTTTATATGTTGCACATGCTTTGTCGTTCTATCGATTTAACGAAAAAAAAAATTGCCAGGGGAACACATATCACAAAAACAACAGAACGCAAAGAGAAATTTAATCGTTTTTTTACATATGCATGCCTTTGGACGGGTAAGAGATAACGGCATTCAAGAGGTTACAACAGCTCGAAATTTAAAATAAAAGATAAAACTAAAAGTGAAGATTAATTCACAGATGATTTTAAGTTGGATCCTGTAAGTTTTTGCGTATATTAACTGTTTTAATTGTTCTCAATTGTCCTATTCTCGTTGACATCAAGACAAGAAAAAAGAAACAACCACAGATCGACACTCTCTATCATACTCTGTCCTGAATCTGGACTCTTGACGACTCTGTTCAGAGTCTGAACTTTGACTAGGATCTGGACTCTTATCCTAGTGAAAGTACCCATATGACGAGTACGACTTTGCTCATAATTCGTCCATGAGTACTCATATTAGTACTACTAACAGTTTTTGAGTATTGTTACTCAGTGAGTACTCAGTTACTCGTGTGAGTACTCAGAAAATATTCGTTCACCGTTTTATTTTGCTAAACTGACAGTGTATAAAGAACGTGGAATTTAGTGAAGAAACACAGAATATTTATATTATTATTTCCTCACTGGTCTCTCTGTATATAGTCAGGGATGGACTCGTCTATGACTGGACTTGTAGTCCTACTCTGGCTGTCTGAGATCACTCCTCTACATGAAAATATCAGATAAACAATATTCGTGAGTATTTTGTCAAAAGTTATATAAGTACTCAACAATACGCAAGCATGAGTACTCAAAGTCGTACCCATAGTACTCGTTACTCATTCATGAGTGCTCATGTGAGTACTCAATGAGTACAAAAATGTGTGAGTACTCACGAGTACTCGAAACAGAGTACGACTTTGAGTACTCACACTTGAGTGCATTCACTAGGATACTGACTTCTGACTCTTGTTTGTTCTGTAAGAATCACAAGATAAAAAAAGGAGCACACAATATACATTCATTCAAAGCCATAGTTTAGGAGTGATTGAGAGAGCGCAGGTTCTTTTTCACGTCGAGTGTTTTAATGCCAATGTTTTTGAAAATCGTTGGAGGAGTGACGAGTGTTACTAAACAAAGAAAAGGGCAGTGCAGACCTGTTTTAAAGAGAGTTTCTTTTTAAAAACTTGTTTTAGCATTATAAAACATCAGTTATTTGTTTTATAGGAAAACTTATTTTGATATGCGGGCTGGCATCGAAGTGCATCCACTCTGGTGATACTGATGCAATGAAAAATACTTTTGTTCGAACGAAATTCATTGGATGAATATTCGAAATTAGACAAATTAAATATCAGTTCACTTCCCATTGTCATTTTTTTTCGAACTTACTATCGTTATCGAGATATTCTCAAATTTGCTTTTTAGGTGTCGTTAACTTATGGCAACATACACATGTGCCAACAATCAGATAGTGAATATCTTGATAATGATAGTAAGTTCGAAAAAAAATGAAAATGGGAAATGAAATGATATTTAATTTTCTCTCTATTTCAAATATTCATGCAATGAATTTCATTCGAGCAGAAGTATTTTTCATTGCATCAGTATCACCAGAGTGGATGCACTTCGACGCCAGTCCGCATACCATTTTGCAGCTTAAGTTGTACGTTATCTCTACTGTTTCAATATATTTTTGAATTAAAATATTTTCGTTTTTACGTTTATTTTTATCATGTAAAACAAAAATTTGTGGGTTATTGCACAAGGTAAAAGCAAATAAAACGTACAAACGGTGATTCATAGCGTGTCAAGAATTCGTACAGACTTCCAAGATTTTCTCTGTAAGACTCTGACCTGAGTTCAAGAGTATTGAAACTCTGTCCTGATTCGGTACCAAGCCTCGTGCCAAGAGTGTCAAGACTGGAAACTCTTGCTAAGAGTCTTGAAATGATATATATATATAGGCCAGACTCTGAGCAGAGTCGTCAAGAGGCCAGATTCAGGACAGAGTATGATACAGAATGTCGATCTGTGAACACGTGTATATTGATATACGTCTGCGTATGGTTTCATCGTTTCTCTCTTTCAACCTGTGTTCACGGACGAAAGATACAGATTCATCATTTCTCCTATTTATAACACAGTGTAGTATGAAGAGCTTTTCTAAACTATCTCTCTCAAGTGTACTTAGAAGAAGCCAACACAGTTTATCTTTCTCAAATAATGCATAAAATCTAAGATATCTCCTTCTGTATAGATTCAGCTAAACACAGTGAGTGTGCAAGATCTCAAAATAAAAATACACAGAAGTGAAGGAAATGCCTCAAAGGCTGATGTCTTCATAAATGTGAATATCCTCGGTGTAAGATCGCTGAATGTAGCGAAGATCAGCTCGGTCCTGTTTGACGTACAGAGGATTGGATCTCAGCCATTCCGCCTCATTCACAGGATGCTAAATTGCCTAGTAACGGAATTGATCTTAGCGATAATATCCACGGGTGTACATTTCCTGAAAATCCAAGCATGAATGTTTTCTTCACATATGGCGAACGTCACCTTATCGGTAAAACTCACAGGCGAACTAAAAGACATCAGCCTTATACTCATTTTTATTTTGAGATAAACTGCAATCACATGTGAAACTGGAATTGAAAAAGCCTTACAGAAATACAGGACTGAATATTTTGAAAATTCAAAAATTAAAGGTAGCTCAGAGTAAAGAAAAATTCAAATTACTGTGTGCTGCTTTCGCATAATGCTCTCGAAGAAAAGTTGGAGTAAAACATAATGCGTCAGTTAGAATGCTTCCTTGCTTTATTTCGGAATTAAAGAAAAGAAATGAAAATAGTATTTCGCGAGCTGCTAGAATAAGAGTCGTGACGCGACCACAGCAAATACTGTAGGATTGTGCATGACTTCGCGATTTCTATATACGACAACAGTGAATGAACGACGATCACGCTATGGCAATCGAAAATGTTGTACGGTTACTCTTACAGTGCGGCAAAACCGCGATTGCGAAAAATCGGGTCTTATTTCACGAATCTTATAGCAAACTCGTTATGCGATCCCGCCGCGAATTCTTTTAGTAACTCGCGTCGCGAATGAGCGTAAGAAACTTTACTTGGATAGGCTTTCTGAGAAAGCCTTTCTCATGTGTGTACGTCAGGGATTAGAACAGAAAAAATTTGATCTGTTCTATTACGTTTCTTGATAGAAATAATACGTCGTTTAATTATGCTGTGGTTGTCATACAGATGCCGTATATTACAGATCGTTGTTATTTTTACTATTTTAAGTAATGAGTCTCGAAATCGCTAATTACTGTTTATAGAAATACCGAATAAGAAATGTTTTTCAAACTTTAATTGATGTTGTAAGTCGATCGTGAACGTTCTCTATTGTATCACTTCGTATCTTTACAAATAATAAAAACTCTCTACAAGTATAACTGAAGCATTTTCTTTTCTGTTATTGTGTTATCAACCCTTCTATGCAAAGGTAAATTAAAATTTTTCATAGTCAGAGGATAGATCACGACATTTTTGTGAATAATATGTTTTCATTAATGTGTATTTAGCACTGAACTGTTTGCTTTCGTTTGTATTTTGCTCTCAGATATCATTGTGCAGAAACACTTCTAAGCACTCCAGCAAATCTGTTTGTCATGGCACTTGTTTTTACACATTTTTTTCGAAACTAAGCTATATATGTTATAGATTATTGAAAAAGCGAGACTACGATGTCATTCACTAAGAACAGTCGGGTAGTCATGGAATTGATCCAATGCTTCTTCATATTGTGTTATTATTGGTTAAAATCACTCATTGTAACAATATTTTATCAAAAACCACGAAAAAATTTAAAAGATGAAATTATTCTTGTTACTGGTGCTGGTTAGTGAAGGAAAACAAATTGAACTTGAGATGTACGATCTACATTATTTGCTCTCTCTGTTTCTCTCTTCAAGGTTCTGGATTAGGACGAGGTATTGCTCAACGTTTAGCGTCAACAGGAGCAACATTAGTATTATGGGACGTAAATGAGAGAGGAAACAAACAAACTGCAATAGATATCGTAGAACAAAACGGAAAAGCGCATGCAATGAAGTGTGATTTGTGTAATCGAGCAGAAATATATCGTCTTGCCGAACAAGTCAGTATAAATTGACCTTCTACAGATTGTTGTTAGAAAAGTTTGATTATTACTGACAGTATTTAGGCGATATACTGATATGTTTTACCATAGAAGGAGAAATTGTTCCTAATACAAATCGGATAAAAATAAATTTTAATTGTTAGGTTCGTGATCAAATTGGTACTGTGACAATGATTATTAATAATGCTGGAATTGTATCGGGTACTCCTCTATTGGATACCGATGATGAGTCAATCATACGAACATTTGATGTGAATGTTCTGGCTCATTTTTGGGTAACTATTACTATTTTTTTGTTAGTTTCTACTTCAATGACATGTGTTGCCATTAAAGGTACTCAAAGCTTTTCTTCGTCCAATGATAGATGCTAACTACGGTCACATTGTCAACATTGCAAGTGGAGCAGGCATTTTTGGTTAGTAGTCGAAATATACAGTCCCATCATTGTAGATACCATTTGATTTTTTTTCCATTTAAGGAATGAATCATTTAGTTGATTACTGTTCATCAAAATTCGCGGCTGTTGGCCTACACGAATCTCTAACGTATGTGTTTGATAAAATTTCTTTTTACATATCGTCAACAAACTGTTACTGTTACTTTCAATAACTTTAGTGATGAATTGCGACAAAGTCGTTCCAATATACAAACAACAGTAATCTGCCCATCATTTATTAACACTGGGATGTTTTCAGGCGTTAAAACAAAGTACATGATTTGCCTAATTTTTCTATCGAATGATAGTTGTTTCAATCTTTCTAGAGGTACCACATCAGCCGTCTTAGATCAAGAAGAGGTTTGTGATCAAATCGTTGAAGCTATTGTGACGAATAAGCGATTTGTTATGCTACCACAACAAACCATGATTTTTTACGCGTTAAAAGGGTATGTTGATCTGTACGAAAAAAATTTATCGGCACTAGCACGGTACCGATACCGGTAAAATGAATCAATGCCAAATTTTATTTTCAATCACCATTCTGTTTTGCCAACATCTGTCTATATGAACATCACAATATAGTTTTCGAATGTTTTTATACGTTCATCTTTCCTTCTCATACCGCATTGTTGTGGTATCGATAGGCATCGATCTCACACTCTGATTAACATAAAATTAAGTAAAAGCAACTATAATAAAAAACTAACCACTGCCTAAATAAAGTTGCAATGCTGTACTGGACAAAATCAGCGCAGCACTTTTTTGGTAGAAGTATATCGACACCGCCATGCGATATGATGCGCACTGAGAGTGCTAACTAGAACTGTTTTTTTGAAAACAAAGAGTAACCATTCTATTGTACACAGTTGTTCATATACATATTGTTATTCACACTTTAGATTGATGCCAGAGGAAGCTGTCGCAAAAGTGCAAGATTTTTTTGGTTTATCCACTTCAATGAACACATTTGTTGGAAGAAATGATAAAAAACATACATAATAAATTTTACATTTCGCAATTAAGAGCAGTTATTATCGGCTATTGAATTATGTTATTAATTTAAGTAAAATAATCATTAGAGTAATAAATCAAGCATAAAAATAAAAAAGATCGTTAAAGCACTTGCATACAGCTCGGTATACTTAGCTTGGTAGAGAATCTAGTGTCGGCTAACCGATGTCAACTGACTGGTCAATGAAATGTTTATTTCCAGTTAGAAAACAAATCTTCTCAAAAGAATTTTTATTTTCCACTTTTCTGTCTTTTATATTTTTCGAGAATTAAAACGCGCTCATGTTACGTAAGATTACGCAATGCTGTCGCGAGTGCGTTAGGTGTAGTTTCTTTTCTCAGATTTATGCGTTTAAAACCAGCACGTAGAAGGCAGCAGAAATTCGACTAGAGTGTTAAACGCACGAAGTATTCCATTAAGTTGCTTTTAGTACGCAGAAATCGCACAATTTCATGTGGAAACATTAGTGATATAAAGTGTTTACGAGCACTCACGAGGGACCTTTTCCAACGGCCTAATCGCTTTCTGGTCGAAACCTAATGGGTTATAGGTTATCGACCACGCTGATTCCGAATATCTATATGAGACAGATCGCCAGATCTTCCTAGAGCGCTTTTCTGAAAAAGTAGTTTTCCAGAAACCTCGAAAAGTCCCTAAAACTTTCTCTTAATAAATCACGATTGTAGCCCACGAAAGTCTGATCAAAATGAGACATCTTCCACCTCTATATGACCTTTCTTTGCAAAGTTATAGAATTTACAAAAAAAGCCCTAAATTAATTTCTTCTTGTTTCTGTAGCTTTGAGCTGACAATGAACGTTTAGGGCTTTTCATGTAAATTCTTTAACTTTGCAAAAAAAGCTCATGTAGAGGTGGGAGATGTCTCATTTTGATCAGACCTTCGTGGGCTACAATCGAGATTTATTAAGAGAAAGTTTTAGGGACTTTTCGAGGTTTCTGGAAAACTACTTTTTCAGAAAAGCGCTCTAGGAAGATCTGGCGATCTGTCTCATATAGATATTCGGAATCAGCGTGGTCAGTAACCTATAACCCATTAGGTTTCGACCAGAAAGCGATTAGACAGTTGGAAAAGGCCCCTCGTCAGCTTCCCATATGGAACAGCTAAATATATAATTTAATCTCTCTGCATAGGGTTAAGCAGATAGTTGAAAAGTCTTCTGATTTTTACAGTCATGAATAGATATTCCTTCTTTTTCTTATCTTAATTGAAGCATATTTATCTACTAACTATTGTTAGTTGGCGAAATTGTGCGAAAAAAACTAACTGTCACTGCAAATAAAGGAGTAAAAAACAAAAGAAAAATTCAGAAATAGATTCACCTAGAAGAAGACTAGAATTTTATGCATAAAGGATATCTGAGCTGAGAGTGTTCTGGTCTTGAAGAAAGTTATAGGTGAGATCGTGCTCCTTGATATATGCAGGATTGTCATGTTCTGTGATTACAATTACTGTTCGTAAATCTCGCACTATTAACACACATAATGATTGTTTTCACCAGCGATGTAGTTCGTAGTCAATTTATTTGAACAAATTTATTAGCTATATATCATATTATAAATACAAAACGAATTATTTTTTATACAAACATTGAAATGGTTAGACTACAATTTAAAAAACTGAACAAAAATTGGATAATAAATATGAAGGAAAGAAGATTGCCATATAAAATTAGAAATGATCAACTAAAATAGAAACATTTGAACTTGTAACCTGATTAATACCCGTCAATTTTCCATTAATATTATTTGCATTTGTAACAGATATTCTCTCATCAGTAGGTACCACTAAAACGAAAAAGAAACGAATTGATACATGAAATCCATCCAGTACAACAGATGGTCTACCATTATTTGTTCCATGTAACATTAAAGCTAATTCTTGCGCATCATTACCAGCACAATGGGGAAGTAAAAGTTCTACTGGTTTCAAAAATTTGATGCCATGCGGTCCACACATTACTATTGGACTTAACAAACGTTCACCTATAATCATAGTACAAATCCTGATAACGTAAACCGTTAACTATACAAATGATGAACGATATACCTTGTTTTTGATTGAATGTTGGAATATTAACACCGTCTTGACATACTTTAAAATATATCTCTTGCTTAATATTATGAGGAATGGCTCCTTCTGGTACAGTAATTGAAACACCTATAGATAAACAAGATCTTATCATTTACACTCATACCTTTACCTTCGTCAACGAAGAGAAATATCAAAAACAGTTCAATAAGTCATTATTTACCTGTTTTAGGGCATGACAGTATTCCACCGTAATAATCCATAATACCACGAGCACTGCCAATAACATTATTTTCATCTTGGATCCAGGATCTAAATCAAGCAAATTAATGATTAACATTATTTTAGTTAGAATTTGATTTATAACTACTAGTCTGTAACCAACTAATTTTCAATAAGAATAAGTTAGAAATCCTATCAAGTATAGATGTTCCTCATCATCGCTCTGATTGTGCTGTTATAGTGTAATCAAACAGTAGATGTTGTTACTGACTTCATGAGGTTAACGTATGTGTGATTAGAAAGCTCATTCTACCTTTGGTCAACACATTTCGCATCTGTATAATTTTTGACTGACAATGATGCAGACGAAGATGTCGAATTATTTTTAGCATCATTTCCATTCGTATATTGACGATGTGTTGTTGTTTGAGAAATATAATCATTTTGATTATATACTCTTGGTTTTTTTAAATTTGATATTTGATTCAAATCGGCTGTTTGCTCTTGATATGTAACTGGTATATGATGATATCGATGTTGTTCATTCGTCGCTGCAGTATAGGAATATGAACGAAATTGATTGTCATTATGATCACCATTCGTATTAGTTATCGGTTGACGTATTTTATTTTTTATTGATGTTAATGATGATTTATTCGAATTACTATGATTATGTTTTTTACTACTGCACATTTTCTGTTGTAGTAGTAAACGTACTTGATTTTCATCATTTTGATTATCAAGTGTACTGAGTGACGTACAACATATAGTACTATTAGATCGATCATTAGAATTTATTGATGTAAAATTATGATGATGATTATTTGTATCATTCGTGGAATATTGACTATTCTCGTTTGGATGATAATGATCGGACATTAAACTACTTGCAGCACTACTGGGTAATTCAGACGAGCTGCCACCACCGTTCTGATGTACTCGACGTTCAGTGATAAGTGGACCAGTTCCATTACGGAATTTAGGCGAATGACCATTTGTAACGTTGTTGAATAAAGAAGTGGTATTGGCTTTATGATGAACACCACTATTAGGTCTAAATAAACAACAAATTTAAGTAATGGTCTTGCTATATCAAATGATGTATTTACCTGTTCCATGTTGCATAAATATTAATCGAATTTTTTTCTGCTGCACTCATTGTCATTGTTGATTTATCAATTAGATCATGTTTTTGATTTAATAATAATGATGATAATGGTGGATATTGTCGAGATTTAGGGATAACAGGGTAAATTTTATTATGATATCCATTTGATGGTATTTGTTGATTACTATTGACATTTAAATTATATTCAGATTGTGGACGTCGTGATAAAGATCCACCGCTATTACTTGTAATTAGACGAGTATCACCGCTACTTCCTGCAATTGTTCCATTGCGTAATTTTGGTGCGAGCAGTGGACGACGTGTGTTTTTCAAACTGTGAGCATTAGACGAATGTGTGGAAACGCTAAAAACGCACACAATATGTACAAAACACACACAGAAATTAAGAAGATATTTGAGATTTCGTTAGTTCAGAAATTTCAGAGGATATTTTTTATGCTAATTACGAATCTGATATTTATTCTTCATCTTGGGCTTGTCAAGTATCGTGTTGTAGAAAAAAAGATCCATTTAGAAACTGAGTAGAAAGATTCTCATCTAAGTAGTTTTTAGAACAAGTCAAGTTACTCATGTGAAAGAATATTTAGACCTGCCGAACAAGAGAATATGAAGGCTTCTCTCGTGACGCAAGTTTTATTTCTCGCTAACAAAAATAAGAACTTGTTCAGCAGATCTAAAACTTCTTTTACTCAACAACATAGTTGAGAAGAAACATAAACAATTGCAGTGAATTTTCTGCTGTCAAAAAGAAGCCATGCATTTGATTTTCAAGAGTCCATCGTAAATAGAATAATTAAAATTGTGCAAAATTACTATGATGATGCCAGTTAAAATAGACAGAATTAAGAATAAAGAAGTGTGCATACGTGCTTACTTATCAGTGTGTTTAAAATTATTAAGATTATGCGAAGAAGTAGTAGTGACACATGGCATAGCTGTGCTTCGAGTAAATTTATAAATTTCATCCGCCGTTTTAGTTGTATACTTTTGAAATTGATCTATGTCTTGTTGCTGATGATTGATTGATCGTTGATATAAACGTTGAATAAAGTTGTCATCGACATGAGGCATGGAATCGGAACGAAAAATATTTGATGCTGTTTGAGCAGACGTTGGACGTGTGCTATTAATTAGTTGATTACTCGCCTAAATAAAATGAATTAATTACATCTATATTATCAACATACAAAAGTTAATTGATCTCTACCGTAACATATTTGTTTGTAAATGAGTGAATTCTACCAGTATTTGTAGATTCAACAACATCTAAGATAAAATAATAGTAAAAAGATTAAAATTATTATGTGAACAGACTTAACGGAAGCGTGTGTAGAAGAATGCACATCCTACATATAATTGAAAAAATTCTTGATGTATTCTTATTTTACATCTGACGACTTCTTTTTATTGATTTCGCACTATCACTTTTACATATCCTTCCACAATATTCGACTCCTACTTCTAACTTTGAATACAAAGCTGTAATACACACCATGAATTGTTTTTAGACGACAATGTGGATATTCTGTTGGTAAATTTTTTATTATATTCAACGAATTTATTGGATTTTTAGCATTTTTTGAATTATACATTTGTACGTCAGATACTGAATGACTACGATTTGGTAATGACATTGTTGAATGTTGTATGGAAGTACTATCTATTTTAACAGATGAGTAGTTTAATAATGTATCTGAGGATAGTATTGGTAAAACTTACTATCATCTTCATTAAAATTATCATCATCCTCATTTTCATCATGATTATTTGATGAATAAGGCGAATATTCATTCTACAATAATAAATAGTTTCATAATTCTATATTTAAGATTTAATCACTCTACTAACCATCTTGTGCCAATTTTTCAGATTATCTTGATTTGATTCTCCATTTAGTCTTGGAAACATAACTGGATCTGAGGCAACACGTTGTAAATTATTTCTATTCATATTATTATTTTCATTATTGTAATCATCGAAACATGTAATATTTTTAAATGAATCAATAATATCGGAGTCGGGACTTGAATTACCTGTATAACTATGACGAGTAGATATAAAATATTCATTAGAATTTAAATTTTTATCAGCTGGTCGATCATCACACATCCAAATAGGTTGTTCTTGTTGAATTTCAATTGTCTCTATCACTTGTTTATACCAATTATCAGTGTTCAATTTTATTTCAGTTGTAAATAGATAAGAATATAATAATTCTAAACGTTCACTGGATTCATACAAACGTCTCGTAGATTTCTGATATAATTTTCCATATTTTGTTCGAATATCTTTTATTTGTCGACGATCAGTTGGTTTTAAAAATAAAACAATTGGATAACATTGAGCATAATTTAATTGTTCAACAGCTGCTGGTGTAATATCGAGTAAACAATGACGATTCTAAAAAGTTAAAATAAAATAAAGTTTATCAGAATCATTTTAGATTTATCAATTTTCAAAGTTTTATTTACTCTTTGTATAATATTTTTTATCGTTTGAAGTTTGATAACATTTGCTCGTATTTTCGTTGGTGAACTTATATCAATTTCTAAAAGAAATAAAATTAAAATATTCAATAATTCTTAATATCTTGTCACATACTTGGCAATTCAAATCTTTCTGGCCAATCTTTGAGTAGATGATCTCGAGCAATATCGGCCAACGCGCCAAATAATACGACAGGACGAGTGATTGTTACTAAAAAAACAAAAGTTGTTTGTCTAATCTTATTAATTCTACACATGTATTTTAACAATCTACCTGCTTTGAGCACCACTCTTTCATAGGCTGGGAATTTTGATGTTGACGAAGCTAAAATGGACGGCTAACTGAAAACATTGACAATAACAAGATAGCAAAGCACGTATCAGTAACCAGCAAGTGTCTATCATTAGATCAAACAAAAAATGGCAGTAAGACCGATAAAATTGTGTTAGCATGTGTACATCGATGAAACATGCATTATTGTTGAAGCTTATCAAGTGTGATAAACTCGCTTAAGAATACCTCTCTTCTTTTTTCAAAAAATTTTCATTTTGAGTTCAATATAACCTACTGCAGAGGAAAGTCGAGGCTACAAAATAACATTCGCACATTTCTTTTTTGCAAAAGTTATGAACTCTTACCCTCACTACGAGAAATCTAAGAAAGTACAGGACATGTTTACAGATTATTTTTCAACTTAACTGTGCCTATTCAATTTTCTATCTAAAGTTACCTACCTATAAATCTAAACTTCTAGAGTTTCGTAATGTTTGATTGATGGGTACCATCAGAATTGGCGCTACACAAGAACTTGTACAAAACCATCAGTTTTTAATACAGCAATGACTCGCTCAGATATAAACCGGTCTTAGTGGTATAAAAGGACACGTACCAGGACATGTGTGACATATATATGAATTGAATTCTTCCAGATGTTTAAGAGATCACTCGATAGGTCATCAAAAAAGCGGATAAACTAGTTGAAAATGGTTATACCGTTTTAATGATTTCATTCGATACAAAATTACCAATAAATCCATATTTCTAGACCTCAGAAACCAGATTATCTGCTTTCTTGTTTATTTATAGGTAACTTTAGATAGAAAATTGAACAGACACAGTTAACTTGAAAAATAATTTGTATAGGGTTTTTAAACTCAATAACGTTTCTGTCATACTTTAAGAAGGAAAAATCAGGATTAAAAATAGAAAACTTTGCATTTTGAAATATGCGTCAAAATTTGAGATGATGAATTTTTTCTGAACATTGTAATGTGGACAGATAAACATCGGCGTTCTCTAGAAAACTCGTAGTCGAATATGCCACAAAATTCTGGACAATAATGCAGTGATTTCTTTTTTTGATGAAGTTTTGAGTTCAATCAAACTTTCGCCACATTTCTGACAACAAGGCGAAAAAGAGAGCATAGACTATTCTTAAATTAGTCTTAGGCAAAGTTATATTCTGTAAAATATGTTCCTATTTTGAGGAAAATACTATAATGAGCTCAAATTTCAAAAGTATATTGTTAATTCTCTGATAACTATGATTTATTTCATAGCTGACTAGCAAAACATTTTATATATTCTTTGTTAGACTGACATATTTTATATAGCTACTGTTAATTTAACCACCAAACAGTTAGTGCTAATATATTTTAATTATTTTAAATACAATCCAAACGTATACATTTATCAGAGCTGGGCAAGTCAGGAATTTTACAAGTCGTAAGTCAAGTCAGCCGAGAAGTTATCGAAGTCAGCTAGATCAACCCACTCTGGATTCCCAGGTCAACTCTCAAGTCATGGCATGAAATAACTTTCCAATGATTTTCTTTCACGCTTAATTCGATTTTTTATGGCATTATCAAAAAAGTATTGCAAATACGATATCAAATGAGACAAACGAACATTGTCACATATTCATGGAAGATGACTGTTATATTTTAGCATCGTTAACATCTGAACAGTTTTCTTAGACATAGAAACACGATGTCGAGGTAAGAGAAAAGTATTTTGAGAAAAAATTCGTTCAACTAAAGCTGATATACCTGGAACACAAAGAATTTTAATTGTTAACTTGCTCAGTGTTTTTACAGAGCGAAGGTTTTCGAAAAACCAACATACTATCATTTTCCTCTTCTTTCGAAAACAATAAAATTTCAAAAGTAATCGACTTGACTTGTCTTATACGCGTAAGTCACAAGTCAAGTCATGTTGCTGCAAAAAAATTTGTTAAGTCAGTCAGGTCAAGTTAGGTTACCCTCAAAATTTTTTCAAGTCAGTCAGGACAAGTAAAAAACGACTTGACTTGCCCACCTCTAGTATTTATAATATTATTTATATTTTTTGTTGCATATGTGAGCTATAGTACCAAAAAAACAAACTTTTAACGGGTGCATCAAAAAATGAATTCTAACAAATTTTTCCCACATGTGAAAGTTGAACTTACGCTTCCAAATATTGCATTTTGCTAAAAATACATTTTTCTTTTAAGATTTAAAATACCGGAATAAAAAAAGACTATTTTCTGTATTAATTAAAACAAATTTAATATTTTTTTAAACAGTTAACTTTTGAAAATTGTTTAACTTACCAAATAATGCATCTTCTTTTAGTTGCAGTGATGATACTGAATGTGAACGTTTTTCGCTAAATCGTGATCTCAATTTTCGTTTCAATGATGGTTTTGATTTAATTAGTACATCTAAACTGGGTGCTAAGGACGCTATTTGTTCAGCTCTATATATGAAAAATTTTTAGAATCAATTAAATAAATGAATAAATAAAATAGTTGAGATATGATGGTTACCTGGCTTTATTCGGTATTGCACCTGTTGTTTTTTCTGATGATGCATTCACTTTCGTAGCCACCCAGGAGCCCACTTGACCATTGTACAATGTATCAGTTATATGAAATATATCGTTTACACGTATTGATAAATCTTCGACAGCTTGAGAGTTATAGGTAAAATGGGCTCTAAAATCGAACAAAAACAAAGATCATGTCAAAAGAGTACGTGTTACATTCTTATGTGTCGTATTATATCACTCTATAATTAGCAGTTATATAATCTAGGAAATTACTCGTATTGAATAATGAGCAAGACAACATTGTCGGAAAAATTAGATAATCACTAATTTTAGAAAACTAATCGATCTCATTCTTGTCAGAATGAAAAGCAGATTAAACTTCGTGTCTACGATGCTAGTAACAAATCAAAAATGATAATTTGAAAAAACCAGTATAATTTAAATCGACCTGTCATTCATTCTTGAAAGCTGAAGCAATCGTACAATACAAATCCATGTTATTGGAATGTGATGTATAACTAAAAGAATTTATATAGAAAGTTTCAAAACCAGTAGACTAAAACGTATGTGGACTCTAAATAAAGTGTGTGTATGGGAGAAGGGCACACTGAACATCCACGTGGACATTTAGCCAGAAGGTCAATTTTGAGTTTGTCTAGTTTTGATTGGCGAATCATTTAGTTGGATAACATGACTATCTTTTCCGATAATAATCTTTTATCTCCAGAAGAATTGTGGGAAAACTCATGAACTGGAGAAGAAAACATTATTTTTCTATGCTAAATACGTTTTCGAAAACAATGTCTTTAGTGTATAGTGAGTTTCAACAGTACGGAAATTATCAGCAGAATTAGTCCTAATGCTGTTTTTTTAAACGTATATTAACAGTTCAATTTCGAGTACAGATACTTCTATTCTTTTAACGTTCAATTTCTTTTTTTTTCTGTTGTGTTTGTTTAGGTTGATGCGAATAATTGTAGCAATATAAGAAGTTGTAACTGATAAAACAGAAGGAAAATAATTTTTCTGAAAATGCATATGACGACTGACGGGAAACTTCTTTTATCGTCACTCAATATCTCAATCCTATCTAGATATTCTGCGTATATGCTGACTATCTGTTTAACTTTAAGTGCGCATATATTAATTGATAAAATCGACTTACCTAACGTAAAACGAATCACCCCCAACATCGGCTAACAGTTGTTCATACTCTTAAATAAACCACAACAAAGTGACTGTTTTTATTATCTTTACTAATCAAACTTTAATACTTACCGTGTCTCAGATTTGAAACAATCATAGTAACTTGAACAATTTTCATATTCATCAAACAAAGAACAGCATCTTCTCGTGTTAAACCAGTAAAGTCGACATTATTAACCTGGAAAAAATAACTTGCAGTTTCAATCTTATTACTAATCTCAAAAAAAAAATAAAATTTTTACACTAAAAATTTTATCTGCAACAAGTAAACCAGCTTTATAAGCAACACTGCCAACTTGAACTTCACAAATAAATATTCCATATTTATCACCACCAGCTAGACGAATACCCATACTTGTTGTATCCGTTAAAAATGAGACATAACGTGTCAAACTGCTACTAAAAATATCACAGCAAAAAATTGTCAATAAAACATACAACAATTCATCATCAATTACCTCGATTTATTAAAATCATGTTTATAATTTACTATGATGTCTGGTACATTGGTTATTCCTCTAGTCTCGTTTTGTTGTTGTTGTTGTTGTAATGATGTCTGAGTTGCCGTTGGATTTTGTTGTACAATAGAAGATGGTTGGTGTAGTTGCTGATGTTGCCTATTAATACGTTCTTGTTGAGTGTACGGGTATTGTTGTGAGATATTATTAAATATATGAGCATTATAGTTCGACTGTAAGTCTTGTTTGTTCACCGGAATAGTCAAAGAATGTTTATTATGTAAATTATCGTATGGAACACCATTTTGATGTTGTTTAGGATTGAAATCATTAACAACAATTGGAATATTCGTTTCGAGATTGGAACGATGATTATTATATTGATAAGAACGATCCTTGCCATTTTCATTTTCTAAATTCCATCCAACAATATATTATTCGTCAATGCTATACAAAAGTATTTGAACCTACTTTGAATAATATTTTTATTTATCGATCCGTATGATAGTTTTTTATTCATATTGCTATCGTTATTCATATGTATTTGTTCTTGTTGACTTTGATGATTATTATGTCGAGGTAAAACAAATAATATTAAACGTTCTTTAGCTCTATCTACAAGTTTTTGAGCATCGATTAATGATAAACGATCTATTGGTGTCTCATTGATCTATATTAGAATGAAGATTATTCATAATTTTTAAATGTATAAATTATTTATATACATACTTTAATTATTTCATCTCCTTCATTGATTGGATTTTCTTTTTCAATTAGGTTTCGTCGATGAATTTTTTTTACATAATATTTACAGCCTAACACAATACCAAATTCATCTTTTTTCGTTTTTTGTAACGTTAATTTTGTTGGTTCAACATCAGAGACAAGTACAGGATGTTTGCGACGACGAACAACCTTTTTTTCGAAGAAATAAAATGGCAAACATTTGACATAACTATCATTAATAAAAACAAAAAATTCGTTATATCTACCAAATTTACAAAATCTGTTGATTCACGAATTAATTTTAATGCTGAATGTTCCATATTGTCAACAGAATATCCGTTTACACTTATTATTTGATCGTTTGATCTAAAAAAAATCAATATAATAAACTTAATAAAAATTTTCACTCTTAACATGTTTGTGTTCAACTTACAATAATTTTCCGTCTGCTGGTCCGGCTCGAACAACATCGCATACGATTAACGATGATTCATGATCGGATATATTATTTTTTCTATTATTCTTGCCCTCTATACTATCCGTTTCTTGAAATGATGTATCTCTAACAACCATAACATCACTTTTATTACTTCCTCCATCACCACCACTAATCGCAATGCCGAAGCCATGTAACGGTGACTATAAGAGAAAAAAAAGCAATAATTATATATTCACTAAATTTTTTTTTTTCTTCTTCTCTGTATAGTGTGATATCGCATTCAATTGTCACTTGCAAGTATTACTATTTTGTTACGTCTTTGTTCAAATAGAAAAAAAAAAAAAAAAATTTTATTCATGTTGTATCATGTATTTCTTTTATTGGGAAAAAGCTAAAGGCAGCCAGTCACCAAAACTCATTACGTATGCGAATTGAAATCAATTTTTTTATCCACTATTTGTTTATATAGGTATTCATATGTTTACATTAAATGTATAATACTTTTTAAAAGATTGACGCAAGTTGATTTAAACGATATTTATAAAACGCAAGAACTGAGTAAAAATTGAACGATGCATCTAAACCTACCAGAATATTTGAGATTTTAAAAAGTTTGTTATGTATCATGTAAAATGAGAATTTTTGAAAGGACGTGTTTACCTTTCTTAGTTAAAACAAGAGTGAGAGAGAGAGAGAGAGAGAGAAAGAAAGAATTGTTTTTCCATTGTGCAAGAAATTTGTTGTACAATAACTACATGGTATTACTTAAATACTTTTGTTCAACAAAAGTATTTGTAATAGTGAAAAAAAGAAGACAGACAGAACGTGTTCATATGATGTTATCATGCATTTAAAAAGTTATTTATTTTTTTTTGCGTTCAAAAAGATGATCAACAAACAACAACAATAAAATATAAATATTTCTTACTCTTGTTAGTGTAACTGGAATACATTCGATTTCTTCGACCTAAAAAAACAATTACAATATATAAATAGATAGATACGTATACGTTATCAAGATACAATGCAAACAAACTAACATTTGTTTATACTTTACAAACAAATATGGTATAGTACGACTTTCAACTCAATATTCTGTTCATCACTTCAGCAAACATCTGTTTTCTTTTATTCAACAAAATGATGAGAAAAGGTGAAAAAATTCATCCGTGCTTGACGTAGGCCTATGCTATTAGAATACTTTAGCACTAAGGTTTATTAATTTAAAATCTATTATTTGAACTACGAATCACAATCGGCTACATGTATGCGTGTACTTCATAGATGAAATAAAAATTGTAGCTAAAAACATGCGACTACCTTATAAGAAAACGTCAAAGTTAGTTATCTGACCTTGTTACAATTATAGTTCATTTCGTGTATAATTCATTTATTTTGTTAAAGCGCAACATCTGTTAAATGTCTTATTCACTCCTAGACACGTACAGATGTTATTATCTCCTCCTTCTATTCTATTATCTGAATTATTAATCGAGAACAATGACCACTATATGTGTGACATTTACATATGATTTTTATTTTTTATTTTACGATTTTTATATAGTTGATGATCAACATATCGACATTCTACACGTAAAATGATTAGATCAAGGTTTATATTATTTAATGACAACCGATATTATTTTTCACACGCACTCACACACAGTACTAAAAATTGATCTAAACAATTAAATAAGAATGGAATTTTAAAAAGTACATTCAGAATGATTTCGTCTAAATATTTTTTCTAACAATTAAAAATATAAATACTAAAAAATACTATTGAAATTCTACAGAAGTAACTTTTAGAAAATCTCTTGCATTTGTTCAAAATGTTCAATAAATCACAGAAACCTTATAACACTAAAAAAAATTTGAATTTTTGCTAAGATTTTGTTAAGGTTTAGCATACTTGATCTAAGTTTTTTTAAGTTTGATCAAGATTTTCTTATCATCTTAATAAGAATTATTATGATTTACGTAAGATTTACTCAAACTTTATGTAGATTTTCTGAATATTTGTTGATTTATATCTATTTCGATTTTAAGTTGTTTTACGATTTCCAAACAAGATTAAAACAGAACAATATAAATAAGAGACTGTCATACGATTGTAAACAAATCAAATGTAAACATTAGTGGCTTTGCTATTAGATGAAAAGGCAATATTTTTCATTGAAAAGTGTAGTAAAAACAACATCGTAAAAAGAAGATCGAATGAAAAAAATATTTAAAACAAGATAGATTAATATTCTCAAATATTATTCATATCTACCCCTAAGATTTTGAAATGAATAAATTTATCTAAAATATTCTCTTTTTTGTTTTAGTGGTTTTCTTAACTGACCGGTCTCAATCGTTCAGCCTCTGATGTATTTAAGAACACAATTTGCAACTGTATTACTCTTATTCTTCTTTCTTCTCGCCTATTGACAGATATATGTATATATATATACATACGAACAAACATTGACAAAAAACAAAAAAACATTGTCGTCTTTAATTTCAGTTTTTATATGTGTACGTGTGTACATATGCTAGGTGTCAAATACAGGCGCGCGAGAAGTGTATTCAAATAGATAGATCTACCTTGAAGAGTGTAGAAAACAAAAGAAATAATTCTTCCTTGGAGTGAGAAAAGGTCAATTGTTCAACTAAAACAATAACTTAAGTCAGGTTTACTCCTCAATGAACATAAAAGAGGTCATATTATTATCATTGTTAATGAATATTGCTGAAAGCTAAAAACAATTTCCTGCTTCAACTAATAAATATTCTCTTATACATAAACTGTTAAAAAAAATTATATGAGATTGTAATATCAACTAGGAACACGTCTATTTTTGCCTACAAACTTCAATATTAAATCATTGTAGAGTAATATATAGTGTCACCTTCAGATTACTACTGTTGAGTAAAAAAAGAACTTAAATTTGATTCTTTCTTATAATATACATCTTATTCTTTAGATACAGTCATAACGAAAGAGGAAAAAATGAATTTATCAAGTCAAAGAATTCTATGAGAAAATGTAAAACATTCAGACAATCAAAAAAAGAGATAGGAAGTTTTTCATAGAAACTTATACAATTTCTATCAGAAGTTTTTGGTCTGATCTGATATCGCCTATTGCATCCAAAGATCAAAAAAAGAAACGAGATTCAGATGAATTTTACATCAGCCGTTTATCAAGTACAAAATGAAGAAACAGAAGATAAGAATAATCGAATATCACAATAAGTTTTGAAACGCAGTGCAGTTTAGTGTACATTTATTCAATTGAATAGTTCACTCTAATAACAAGAATCAAGTTGATGTGTCTAAGTGAATTCATTTTTTCAAAGAAAAAAACAATGAAATCTTTCTCAAAATCTTTTAGAGACAGAACATATTAAACTTACAGGCATGTAACAACCAACTGTAAACTTCGATGTACAAACTTTTCCAACACTAACTAAACACGCAAACTATATCAATTATTTTCGTTCAATAATATTTAATGATAAGTTTGAAAAAATAATCGAAGACGGAGGATAATATTGATAATAATAATAATAATCGAACAAGTGATGAATACAAAAAAATAATAAACTCATCAAATAAAGGACATCTCTTAAATGTAAAAAAATATATAAAAACGATGACGAATGACCCTTATCGTTTAGAGAAAGGTAGGATGAACCTAAAATATTGATCATAAAAAAAAAAAGAAAACGTGAATCTTGAGGTTGAACTACATGTATATACATGCACACAACATACACATTATAAACGATTCTATTGATAATCGGTTGAACTATAGCCAAGGGAATGAAGAATAGAGAAGTTCACCTATACGAAAAAAAATATATACGATTTCCCTATTCCTAGTATTGTTCTCTTACCTTTTCTTCTATTTTGTACAACAATTTTAACGGTCAGATTGAAAATGACCAAGAGAATTAGAGTTGTTAAATTTAATTCTATATCTACTAGCGTTTGAATGCAGAGAAGAAGGAAAGAAGAAGATTGAAGACGATAGACGGAAATAGAAGAAAAGAACGTGAAATGGAAATAGAAAATACTATAAATACTAAAATATAATACGTCGATCATTTCTCTTAAAATAAGATCATATTCTATTGTCTTCTAATAATGGACATGATAATGTTACAATTTCATATACATAGGCTCAGAGAATTTGTAAAACATATGTTATTGCACATTCTTTCTATTCTCTTAAAGCTCACCTTGTTATTTGAATAATTCAGCTAATTCATCAAAAAAATGTTACCGCAATAATAAATTGTGTATGATAGAATAAAGTTCCCAAAAGTCTTTTTAGTATATATCATAAAGTTTTTGTATAGATCTAGTAGTTAAGCAAAATGTTTCATTTTCTCAATTCTGGATAATGTTCTAAAGATATATGCAGTTTTACTGATTAAAATAAAATTTTGAAAAGATCTTAATTATAATTGATTTTTTAAACAAGTGTATCATATGTAACTGTGTGCTATTGCATCATATCAATATTTTTCATCTATCATAGATTGAGTAACATGTACTACAAAAGAAGATGTAATTATTGTTTTATTATTATTATTATTATTACTGCTTATGTGGTATTTCTTCTTTCTCTTTTTGTTTTGTTCTATAATAAATGATTCTCTTTGTTGTACTAGTGAATTCTGTTTTTTTTTTTAAAATGTTTAAAGATCAGTATTCTCATGTACATTACATTTTCTATTCTTATTTAAACAGCTGTTTCATTCTTCTTAGATGTTTTATTTCATTAATATACATCTTTGTGGCTCTAGTAGAATTGAGACCATTTTTTTTCCTATGCTTATTAATTAGATTTAGAAAGTGATTCGAATTTGGAATAGAGAATTTGTTCGTTTCACACGATTTATACACTGTTTATAATTTCACATCGTTCCGTAATTGAGAAGGATTGTCTACTGTAGGAAGAAAAAAAGATTAAGATATTGCTTGGAACTGTTGATGAGAGCATATCCATTTTCGAAATGATCTGAAAACGACATTACCGAATCGGATAAGAGTATAAAAATGAAGTGTAGCATTACCTTGAAACACAATATCTAAATCCAATTTCGTCTAAGAATTCCGTCATGTCTACAGCTCTACATTTTTCTTGTATCAAAACTGAAAAGGACCAGGATGGTATATTATATATATAAAAGTTATTTATATCGTTTAAAATATTCAAATAAAAGTGGAATCTAAAAATGGATTTGTACTCGTAATTCACGTTCATGTTTACTAACAATAAAAGATGATGCAGTAATTAGTGGTAGCAGTAGTATTGACGATAGTGGTACTCATTATCTGATGCTTAATCCAAAATTACCAGAAAATGTCTAAAGTTGTATCAGTTCAATGAAAAAACGTGTTGTGGAAGAAGTTACGGCTCCAAAACCCTAAATTTATGATCAATAAGTGAAAAGATTTGTAAGTAATTTGTGTTTTTTATGGACAAAATAAACAAACGTTGTACTCTTTTAGAGAAGGGAGAATGGAATCACCGCCACGGTCCCAGTATTTTGATTTTATCAGACAGTCATTATATTCCACTCGCATCCGCATTTCCACTATTACCAAAAATATTACAATCACTCATTATAACCCCATCAAATGGCTCGTACACCCTTAAATGAAGAATTTTTAATCTGTAATAATCCGCATCCAGATTCAGTATTAGATTTTTGCTCAACATCAACCCTGGAAATTCTTGGTAAAAACCCACATTGGATTACGGATGGGGCATTTCTTACAGCACCAAAATTATTTTATCAATCATATTAGTATACATACATGGGATGAATTTAACCAGAAGCCAGTTGTGTATGCAACATTACCAAATAAAACTTACACTTAATATAAGATTTTACTTGATTTTTTATTATTGTATCCAGCACAACTTAATGTCACATTAAGTCCACAGTCAGTATTAAGTGATTTCGAAGTTGCCGTGCGGAATGCTTTCTCGCGTAAATTTCCAACGTCTATGACGAAAGGTTGCCATTTCCATTTTACACAAAACATGAAAACAGATGAAAAAACATGGCTATTAATATAGCTTTTTACTTTGTAGCTAACTCCAGTTTAACAAATGTGTTTTTACAAACAGGCTCACCAATACCGCAATTGAAAATTAGTTTCTTTTGTTTTTTCAACTCCAATATCTAATTTATTTGTAAAAACCATTTTATCATATGAATTATTGTTGGACAGATGCACAAAATAGAATGTCGGATGCAGTAATCACTGCAGAACTGAAAATTAGAATTAAGACAAAGTTAACGTGTACTAGTTTTCATTCTGTGATGTTAAATAACAAAGAAATTGTGGAGGTGAAAATATGGTTATATGCATAAAAAATTATGTTTGAATTGATCATTGATTGTTTTGTGCGTAACCACAGATACTTCTGTTAAACTTTACGTTTTCAAACGGTAACATAAGAAGAAAAAGATATATTCAACAATATTCATCCGCCTATAATTTTCTCAATGGGGTTATACGACAAATAATCTGTTTGTCTTGTCCGCCTTTGAAAACCCTTTATTTTGCTTTTAGTTGACATCCATGCATTCAGAAAAATAATTGCATAAAAGAAAAAACACACGATACAAAGCACTATTTAGCACCTTGCCTACAACGTTATCACATCTACGAATATGTGTGACGCTGTCGACTCGCTCAACTTAAGGGCCCACTTTCAGAATCTGTATCATTTTCCTAGAAGTCCTAAAATTGAGTATTTTATACAACGTTTAATCCAGCGTTTTCACCGGGGGGTGGGTTGGTGGGGGAGGCGGAGCCGGAATCCACGCGGATCCATGAGAATACAATTTCATTCAATTGAAATGTCTCCGAAATCTCTGTCCCCACAAGCAGAACAAAAACGTTCTGTCTGTGGGAAAAGAATTCAAAGAAAAGAACACAATTGTCCCGTTATCCGGGAACTTTCCCGAATAAAAGAACCGGGGTGTTCTCTTTCAGGAACACGATTGTCCTGCTTCGTGACCCGGACTGTCCTACCCTCGGAAAATGCTATCTCCGACTGTAGTAGTTGAAAAAACAAAAGGCCTGGGTCTTCTATTCTATCCACAAGAATAAAGCTCTTAGAGGGGTCTTCTAGTTACTGATTGTTGAAGAACATTTAAGCGAAAAAAAAGAGTTATTAGAATACAACAACATAAATGATGAAAACATATTCGTAATCAAATTTAAATAACAGAACTTTTAAATAGTCTATTTTATTTTTTTGCTTTATTTATTTATTGTAATACAGATCTATAATTTCCAAT